TCGTAATGTTGTGCCATTAACGAAAAAATCACGTGTACTTGCTCTCATACCAGATCAAAGTTGTATTCATTTAAGGTCATGGAGAAAACTGTGGTGACGGAGTGGAATCGAGTATGTGACAACAATTGGAGCCGTGCCCATGTGCATATGAGTTATTCACTCGGCTACCTTGTTGGTGGATTGTTAGGTGGATTCGTCAGTGATCGGTTAGTGGCTCTTTAACAAAATAGATTATGGCGTAATGTGGTGTAAAACAATAAGGATGAGAAATAATATCGAAGAGAAAGTATCACACGTAACCGGTCCGGGCTAATTGTAAAAAAATACATAATGTGATTAACTAAGTGTGAATGGGACGTATACCTTACGACCACCAATAACGTCCAAAGTAACTTTTGTAAAGAAATACCTTTCTACCCATTTTCTGTGGCACTTGCTTAAGCAAAACAAGGGGAAGATCTGTTATGGGGAAAAAAAAGAAACAGTGGAAGCAAGGAAAGGGTCAAATTTGCAAGCGTCTGACATTTGTCACCTTTTGCCTCCGATTCACAAATAGTGGACGCTTTCCGTATGGATACGTATCGCAACAAATTCAGAGACGAAGCGCAAATCTAGTCCATGCATCTCTGGATTTGGTGTTTGAGTTACATTTACACCAGTAATCAACTACCATACATTCACTATAGAAAACTACATAGCTACCTCATTCAGATATGGCAGAAAAACTGCAATCTATGGATTTGGCATTCTTTCCTTGATATTCGGATTTCTACTAGGATATTCACGCGAATTCGAAATATTTCTAGTAGTGAGGTTTTTGTTGGCAGCCAGTAATGAAGCCGCCGATTTGGCTGCCTATGTACTTTGTATGGAGATTACAGGTAAAGTTAAGCTTACAGAATTACACATAATAGCATAGATTATTTCAAATAGTGCAAGTATGCATGCATAACAAACCAGCCGACACTACAGTATAATTATTTTGAAGCATACAAAGAATGCGCGCTCGTCATGGCACTTGGACTTATGGGATTAGTTTGAAATGGTGCATCACAACAAATGTATGTAAAATACATAACATGCGTAAATACAGTGTTAACATTAGTGCCTATACATCATACATTGGATATTTTAGCACAAATTCCGAATAATCCATATTTGAATAATCTGAAACTGAAACTTCCAATATGTTTGAATCTACAAAATTCATTTCCGTATAATGCAAAACTGGAAATTTCGCTTGATTACATTCTCAAATAACTTCTCGAGTACGTTCTGGACAAAAGTAATTTGCCCTGCAGTATTCGCAATCAAAATTCAGTAGTATGTTTTATATACATTATTGCCACACCTCGTTTGTTTGTTAAGTCAATAAGTCATAGGATAGGAATAGAAAGGAATCAACTATTCACTTTTTGAAAAAGATGATATGCGCTAAGTACTTTTTGGAGGAGAAACCGTTATCCAGCTGCTCATACTTAATTGTTTCTCCTCCAATTAGTACTTAGCGCATATGAAATTCTCTACTCGCCGAATGCAAGATTCTTGAGTCTAGGTCTACAGAAGTCTTTTCCTTAAACAATCTTACTCGGATACTCTGGAACCCAATACCACCGCATATCCAAAGATTTCATAGCTTTAGGTGTTTGGAAAATTAATTCTGCCAAATTCCAAAGGTCCTCAGTACAGGCCCCATCTATGCCATGCTCAAAAACTCTGTGACTTTTAAATCACTAAATTTGTCATAATTTCTTACAAAAGCCTTCATAACCCGAATGCTGAGTCAA